TAATTTTTTCACAGGCTATCGTCATGATGTTGGAAGATGGCCATGAACGAGTGATGACACTGATGAAGAATCTTCTGCAGTTCTTTTCAAATACCAACATTGTCAAGCCAGATCAAATTAAAAGCGTAAGTTGGTGACTGAGAACTTACAAATTCTTTTGAGAGTGCACCTAATTAATGTCATGTAAGCAATCCACACTCTTGTATTGAGTATTAAAGTTGTTCATTTTTGCTTACAGTTTCGGTAGGTTAAGGAGACACATCACTAAGCAGTTAATGAGTCTAGTTAAAGTTTCCTATGATTATATCATGTATGACAGCTTATGGTGCATGCATGTGCTGTGACTTTGGCTGTGTTTCAAAACTGTTTGTAACTGATTTTTTTAAACAGGGATTTCAACGTGTGTTTGACTCATTTGCCGACATTCAGCTGGATATTCCACATGCCCACACCCTTTTGGAAAAGTTCACTGACATGTGTGCCCGTGATGGAATCATTCCAATCTCCTTGACTTTGAAAGTCCCTTCCAGGTATTTATGGTAATACAGCCGGTAGTTTCATAGCCAGTTGCAGGGTTTATTCCTCTGGCTTGTGTAATTCCTGTGATAATAAAACAGACCTCGGTCCATTTATACAATTTTAACTTGGGCAATACAGTCCTGAGTAGAGCAATGTCACCTTTCCTTTCTTCATGATGTATTTTTCTATATCAAATTTTAAGATTCTATTATAGGAGTATCTTATTGAAGATGGGACAAGAAATGCGGTCATTTTTCCGCAACAAATGCATTATTTGTGTAGTATAAAAAGTTAATAGTGCCTTGTTGCATTCTCACATTATGTTGCTTTTATGGTAAGATTTGAAAGGCCTCTTCTCCTAAACATGTTTCTTTTGTACTTGCAGGGGTCGCAAGCGATTTGTCAGTGAGGGCGATGGAGGGATTGTGAAGTCGTAACTCGCTTATCTATAAATCCAGAAAGCAATTGATGAGCCAGACATAATAATTAATAACCTCTAACAAAAAGGGAGAACATTCTGGTTTGAATAAGATTCACATCTATCTGTACACTCTGGTATTTCCTGGGCATGTGTGACAAAGGGTAAAACTTGGGTCAAGTGATGATTTCTAAAGTCGTTACTCCCCCCTCTCCCCCTTCCTTTCTCTCTCTCTCTCTCTCCCTCCCCCCCTTTCAATACATTAACATTGCTTTCATTATATCTGACTGTTGTCACTGTTAATAATCTGTAAAGAAATTGGAAAAAATATATAATTTGAGAGTAGTGTACAGAGTCGCTTGGGTTCCTAAATTATCACTGTTGGCTATTACTGAAACAGTAACTGTTGATGACTCATGATAGAACTACTGGTTTTTGAAGGGTTTACTTTAGTATTGTGCAGTACTGTTGTTTAGAACTGTGATGTAAATAAAGGTTTTTAGTTTGTCATCAGGGACTGGTCAAAAAGTGCAGGGGGGATGAGCCAGAGCATATGAAAATGTGGTGGTTAGAAAACACATGACCCACCCCCTATAAAACATGGCATTTTTGGTTGCATAATCCAACAAAATCACATTTTGTGTATGAAATTGTGGTGCTATTTAGATTTTAGATTTATTTTGTAATAATAATGATGATGATAATAATAATAATAATAATAATAATAATAATACAAAATCATCTGAAAATAATATTGTTTTTCTTTACTCTTGCAACTTAAAGTCGTGTCTGTAAACTCTAAGAAAACTTGACCTTTAACCTTCCACACTAGGGCTCCAGCCTTGCAACACGTGGAACAGTGATCCATCTAGAAAACAGCTGTAGTGAGTCCTGCAAGTAACATAGCCAGAAAAATACAAGTCCCAGATCTATGAACATGTGTCCTGTGCCCTTAGGGACAAATAGTATGTAGACACAAGTTTGGCATTTGGTGTTCTTGAAGACCAGCATGTTGGCAGAGCGCAGTAGTTTCAATATATGTGCCCTGGGACTCCTTGCTCAATCCGTTAGACTTCTTAGCTTTTGTACAGATTTTACAACACATAAATTGTCATCTCTATTTGTACACCAGCCAAGTGTACTTTTTCAACCACAGCTCAAAAAGTTTTAGTCCTTTGGGAATGAAAGGAGTTACCTCTGTTGTCGATTGTGTCAAATGTGTGCCAATTCCTGTTAAAAAAAAAACAACAGGNCTTGCAACACGTGGAACAGTGATCCATCTAGAAAACAGCTGTAGTGAGTCCTGCAAGTAACATAGCCAGAGAAATACAAGTCCCAGACCTACGAACATGTGTCCTGTGCCCTTAGGGACAAATAGTATGTAGACACAAGTTTGCCATTTGGTGTTCTTTGAAGACCAGCATGTTGGCAGAGCACAGTAGTTTGAATATATGTGCCCTGGGACTCCTTGCTCAATCCGTTAGACTTCTTAGCTTTAGTACAGATTTTACAACACATAAATTGTCATCTCTATTTGTACACCAACCAAGTGTACTTTTTCAACCACAGCTCAAAAAGTTTTAGTCCTTTGGGAATGAAAGGAGTTACCTCTGTTGTCGATTGTGTCAAATGTGTGCCAATTCCTGTTAAAAAAAAAACAACAGGATGACCCACCCCCATGGGTAGCTGAGAATTGAACGACCCACCCCTTACCAAGGGCTCAAAAACTGATGACCCACTCCCTCTCTGCTCCGCCCACCTACCCCCATGCTTTTTGACCGGTTCCTCAGTGCAGGTAAAATGTTGTAACTTATTAGGAGAATTACTCTGTTTCACATCTAGAATTGCTACTAATGCTTGCGCAGTTCTTAGTCAGCAATAGCGAATTAACGTCCAAACTTCTTTGGCTTGGAAAATTAGGATGGGTATTGATAGCATCTAAGCACTTGAAACTGGACAAGGTGAATTTGAATTGGGTATTTGTAATTTGAAAAAATGTGCAGGGAGGAAAATTTCTTTAATCTTTATTGGTTTAGATACAGGTTGTCGTAGCTGATTCTCACAGTTGTCTATTTCTGTCGGTTTCTTAGTGTATTCTTAGTTTGATATAGTTTGCTCCTAAAATCATGGTGCAAGTAGCAAGGGAAAAGGTATTTTAAAAAATGCGCTATGAACTGTGCGACATATCGAAGCCCTCTTGAATTTTTTTCTTTGCCATGTGTGTATTTTCATTTTTGACAGTGAAAATCAGCCCAGAACATATCCTTGCTTATTCAAACTTTTTGTCTCCCTTCTCTTATGTGAAAATTGTACAGAATCTCTGGCTTACTGAACTTTATAAGCAAATAAAAAATTCAAACTCGTCGAGTGTCGCCTGTCTTTACGTTGCCTACAAGTTGAGCTTACGAGGCTAATCCAGTCGGGACAGCATTTTTACAAAGTCCAGGTGGACCGACTTTGTCAAGTCTGAGATTCTCTTGATCAGATCGTCTTTAAAACATTAACTTAATCTAA